AACGTCTCCCAAGACAGGGCAATCGCCTATGGGCCGTAGCGTCCTGCCCTGACCTCTGCTCTGGCGCGTGCTGCGGCGCTGGCGAGGCCCGCCGCTTGCCGGTCCGCAAGCGCCGAACGGATTGCCAGCGGCGAGCGGATTGCGACATCCAGCGACCACTGGTGGAGCTCGCCCCGGGGTAGCTGGCGACGATGTCGAAGATCGACACCTTGCACGTCGATGTCTGTGGCCGCCCCCCGCCCGCTTCACACTCCGGCTGCTGCCACTTATACAGCTCTGGGACCTGGCACTTTTCGTCCACGGCGTAGCCTACATCGGCCATGACCTTCTTCAACGCTTTGATGACGCTCCAGGGTGAGCGCACGCGCTACCCTGTTTGGCAGAGTGCCACGTGTGCTGTAGCCTCGCACCCAAGTGCTTGCCGCACATCTCGCAGGTCGTTCCCTCTCAGCGGCAGCACAAGAGAGCACCGCCACCTAACAAGAATCGTCATCATAATCAGCATCAGCAGCAGCAGCACATTATTATCATCATCATCAGCAGCAGCAGCATCATCATCATCATCATCATCATCATCATCATCATCATCATCATCATCATCATCATCATCATCATCATCATCATCATCTCATCATCAGCATCATCAGCATCATCATCAGCATCATCATCACCACCATCACCATCACCATCACCATCACCAACATCATCATCATCATCATCATCATCATCATCATCATCATCATCATCATCATCGTCAACATCATCATAATCGTCAACATCATCATCATAATCATCATCATCATCAGCATCATCATCATCATCATCGTCAACATCATCATCATCAGAATCATCATCATCATCAGTTTCATCATCATAATGATCAGCATCATCATCATCATCATCATCATCATCATCCCCATCCTCATCCTCATCCTCAGAATCTTCCTCCGCCTTCTCCTCCTCATCATCATCATACTCAGCATCATCACCACCATCACCATCAACATCACCATCATCATACTCATCATCATCATCATCCTCATCATCATCAACATCATCATCGCCACCGTCATCCTCGTCGTCGTCGTCGCCACCACTACCACCATCATGATCCTCATCCTCATCATGAGCATCACCATCATCATCATCATCATCATCATCGTCGTCGTCGTCGTCGTCGTCATTTTCACCGACATGGTCTTCGCCATCGTCATCAAAATCAGAATAGTAATAGTAACATCCTCTTCACCATCAGCATCATCATCATCAGCATCATCATCATCGTCAGCAGCATCATTAGCGCCATCATCATCATTATCAACATCATTATCTCCATCATCATTGTCATCGTCTTCGCCTCGGTAATCGAAATCGTAATCGTCGGCATCGTCACCACCATCACCATCACCATCACCATCACCATCACCATCATCATCATCATCATCATCATCATCATCATCATCATCATCATCGTCGTCAACATCATCATCATCATCATCAGCATCATAATCATCATCGTCAGTTTCATCATCATGATGATCAGCATCATCAGCATCATCATCCCCATCCTCATCCTCATCCTCAGAATCTTCCTCCGCCTTCTCCTCCTCCTCCTCATCATCATCATACTCAGCATCATCACCACCATCACCATCAACATCACCATCATCATACTCATCATCATCATCATCCTCCTCATCATCATCAACATCATCATCGCCACCATCATCCTCGTCGTCGTCGTCGCCACCACTACCACCATCATGATCCTCATCCTCATCATGAGCATCACCATCATCATCATCATCATCATCATCATCATCATCATCATCATCATCATCGTCGTCGTCGTCGTCGTCGTCGTCGTCGTCGTCGTCGTCGTCGTCGTCATTTTCACCGACATGCGCGTCGCCATCGTCATCAAAATCAGAATAGTAATAGTAACATCCTCTTCACCATCAGCATCATCATCATCAGCATCATCAGCATCGTCAGCAGCATCATTAGCACCATCATCATCATCATCATCATCATCATCATTATCTCCATCATCATTATCATCGTCGTCGCCTCCGTAATCGTAATCGTAATCGTCGGCATCGTCATCATCATCACCAACATCATCATCAGCAGCAGTATCATCAGCATCATCATCATCATCATTAGCAGCAACAGCATCATCAGAATCATCATCATCATCATCATCATCCTCCTCATCATCATCAACATCATCATCGCCACCATCATCCTCGTCGTCGTCGTCGCCACCACTACCACCATCATGATCCTCATCCTCACTATGAGCATCACCATCATCATCATCATCATCATCATCATCATCATCATCATCATCGTCGTCGTCGTCGTCATTTTCACCGACATGCGCTTCGCCATCGTCATCAAAATCAGAATAGTAATAGTAACATCCTCTTCACCATCAGCATCATCATCAGCATCATCATCGTCAGCAGCATCATTAGCACCATCATCATCATTATCATCATCATTATCTCCATCATTATTATCATCGTCGTCGCCTCCGTAATCGTAATCGTAATCGTCGGCATCGTCATCATCATCACCAACATCATCATCAGCAGCAGCAGTATCATCAGCATCATCATCATCATTAGCAGCAACAGCATCATCAGAATCATCAGACTCATCATCAGCATCAGCATCAGCACCATCAGCACCAGCGTCAACATCATCAACAGCATCATCATCACCACCACCAGCATAAGCATCATCAGCATCATCCGCATTATCAGCATCATCTGCATCGCCATCACACTTCAAGTATTCCCACAAGGATTTCCATAACGTTTTGAGACTGGCGCAGCCTTTGGCCAGAGGAGTTTCCTAAATGCAAGTGGCAGCGGTCACGAGGACAACGGGGGGGAAGGGCAGGGGATGGAGGAGGGGAGGGGGAGGCAGAGGGGGAGGGAGGAGGGGAGGGGAGGGAGAAGGGGAGGGAGAAGGGGAGGGGAGGAGGGGAGGGGGAGGGCGAGGGCGAGGGGGAGGGCGAGGGACAAGCCAGGTGCATTCGCGCCATATCTGACGTCCGACACATTCCACACATCCCCTCCCATTGCGCTAACTTGTTTCAGCAGGTGTCATAGCGGACGCCCGAAGTGAATCCATCGTGTCATGCGTAAGCTGAAAGGAGTGTTGTGCACATGTGAGGAAGTGGAGGTGGCGGATGAGCAGGAGGATAAACAGGAGGATGAGCAGCGTGATGGATAAGAAGGAGGAGGAACAGCCGGCACAGCTGGAGCAAATGTGAGAAGGTGGGGCGGGAGGAGGTGGAGGAACTGGAGGACCAGGGACAATGAGGCCAACGCTGCAGCGGGCACAGCATTTTGAGAAAATGCCAATTACAACAAAACGCTGCGAATTCTTCAACAGCACGTGTTTCACCACCTGTCAAATTCTCTGCGCTCGGAAAAAAAACATGCTGGACATGAGCTGCCCGCCCCGTTCGGGCTGGATCTTCGAAAAAGATGGGAGCAGCACTCAAATTGAACTCATAGAATCCCGAAGCTGAGGTGAGAAGGAGACGGGCAGGGGAGACGGGGGACGCAAACGTCGACAGGGTTGGGCGCCATCCGCGAGCGGGCACGACGGAAAGCATCGCTCCAGGGGGGGGGGGGGGGGGGGGGGGGGCGGGAGCGGGCTACACCCCAGGGAGCGACTTCCGCTGGAAAAGTCGAGCGAGGCGCCGCTCGAAGCTCACGTTTGGGGAGCTTCGGGTCAAGAGTCCCCTCAGCCCCCTCCCCTCCGCCTCCCCATCGTCCTCCTGCTCCTTCTCCTCCTCCTCCTCCTCCTCCTCCTTCTCATCCCCCTTCTCCCCCTCCTCCCCCTCCTCCTCCTTCTCGTCCTCCTCCTCCTCCTCCTCCTCCTCCTCCTCCTCCTCCTCCTCCTCCTCCATTCCTGTTCCTTCTAAACAACTTCTCCCTGTCGCACCCTGTGGCCAGTTTTAGGGCAGGCCGGGCGTTTCGCTTGAGACTTCCTCACCATCTATGACCCTGAAGCTTCAAAACTGGCAAGCTTCAAAACTGGCAACAATCTCACGCATTAAGGGCGGGTCATTTTCAAAATGTGGATTTCGCCTTAGCACCGCGCACATTCGCTTTCAAAACTTGCAAGGGTTTCACGGATTGAGGGCGGTTCCAGTTCAACATGTGGCTCTCGCCTTGGCGCCGCACGTTTTCGTTAATAACATTTGCAAGAATATCACGGATTGAGGGGAACCCGTTCTCAAAATGTGGCTCTGACCTTAGCGCCGCGCACATCCGTTAAAAGCATTTGCAAGAGCTTCACGGAAGAATTCGGGATTATGAGGGCACAACAATTCTTTTCATTCGCGGCGGTAAAATCCCAAGAATGCCATTCACGATTCAGAACCGTCAAAACGGAACAGTCAGGTTGACCCGTGGCGTTGGAATCCCGAGAACAATGTTTTGGCATGCTTCAGGGTCTTCGAACGGTCGTCCTCCAACGAGGCAGTTCCCTCAATGGATATGAACCGTTGTAGGGTCCCATGGAGGAGGAGCATGGAGGCAGGGTTTATTCCAAAATCGTTGATGACTCTCTTGAGGAATGAAAAAACGGCCCTACCCTGGGTTACAAGTGCGTTGTCTGTAAACCTCCTGGGAACCCCCAAAGCCTAGAGCCGCCAGGACGCGGCACATCACGCACGGTTTACCCCGTCAGCCCACAGGAGCTTCAGCGCACAGCGCCTCGTAAACCAGGGTAGGGGCGTTTTTTATCCCCTTGAGTCTTGGGTGTGCACTGGTCCTCCTCCTCCCACTCCTCCCCCTCCCCTTCCCCCTCCCCCCTCCTCTTTCCTCCCCCTCTTCCTCCCCCCTCCCCCCCTGTTCAGCCCCCCCCCCCTCCTCCCGCCCCTCCCCCACCTCGGCCTCCTCAAGCCAGCAGCTCGCTCTTCCGCGGTCGTCCCTCGTGCCACCGCCCGTCGTCCCCAGGGCCCGCGCCGCGGCCTTCACGACGCAGTGCGGGCCGTCGGGGGGCCCTGTGGCTGGCCTGGTCAGGTAGACAGAGGCGAACGCGCCCTTGCCCAGCTTGCCCAACAGGACGTACCGCTGGCGGCCGCGCGCGAGGCGGCCCCGCCAGCAAACCGGCGATCCGCATCGGATCGACCCGAGCATCGGATCGGCAGGCATCGGCTAACACTCGGCAGCGGCATCGAAGCGGCAGGCATCGACAAGGCCGAGCCACATCGATCAGGACAGACGCCGGGCAAAATTCGGAATCGGATCTGGAGCTGGGGGCGCGGCTATCCACCCCCGGACCGCGAGGCGCGCGGCGCGGCCCGCCTCTCCGCACCCTTTTGGGCGGGCCAGAGCGCGGGGCCTCTGCAAAGCACCTCGGCCTTCACACAGGAGGGTGGCCCCAGGCAGCACATGCCTCTGGTGCGCGGCGTGCCGATCGCCAGCATGCGGCGCGGCAGTATCTGCCCGTTCGCTCGCGGTCGCCTCCCCCCATCTGCGCCCGCTCCACCCGATAGCTGCGCACAGAGGGCCACCCCAGCGAAGGGCAAATGCTACGTGTAGCCGAACACCTCCCTGGGGATCAGAAGCGAAAGCCTGAAAGCGGGCAGGCACACGGCGCACAGCCAAACACCACCCCGGGGATGACCACAAGCCACGGTTGCTCACTGTCACTTCCTCTTGCCCGCCGCGCCCCCGCTGCCTCAAAGCCCCTCCCCCCCGCGGTCCTCGTGGAACGGCTGCCAGGGGGGCAGATGGGGGGCCACCTTGGGCGCCCCGGTTGCCTGTCAGGAGAAGCCAACATCATCGCCATCAGCATCAGCATTGAAGGATGGGGGGGAGGGGGAGGGGGGGGATGAATGGGGGGGACGAGAGGGGAGAAGGAACGAGGATGCAGAAGAGAGGACGCGGGGAGGACGGGCGTGGGGAGGGGGGGGTCGGCACTGGTTCACATACAACCCAAGCGTCCGAGGTACACAGACCCCGGAACGACCACGCGGAACGCCACCCCTGGGACGGCAGGTGGCCAAACGCACCCGCAACCGCGACGAACACTGACTCGCGGGCGGCATGTCCCGCAGAATTCCGACGACAAAAAATCGCACCCAAAGGGCGGGATACGTCGCAGTTTAAAATCGCACAGGGAAGCGGCACGGCTGGCGGCCAAAATCCCACGACCGACGCTTACAACTCACAGGTGGCCCCGTTGCGAGGTGTTCTGCAGGGCCACGACGAGAAAGACCACACCACACGGCGCAAACACTCGCGGCCCGACAGAGCACAGGGAGGCGAACCTTGCGCGCAGCACGGTTCAAAAGCTGGCCGACGCCGACGGGGCACGGGAGGGAGGAGAGGAGCGAGGGAAGAAGGGAGGGGAGGGGAGGGGAATTTTTTTTTCTGCAAACTCACTCAAGCAATCCTCGCGGCCACGCTTGGTTTATATATCCTCCGGTGTGGTGCGGTGGTCAGCCCACTGCAACGTCCGCCGGGCAGTTAACAAATCCTCTGGTCCGAAGTCAGAGACGAAAAATCGTATGCCTGAAGTGATCTAGACTGGTCGCGTGAAAGTTACAGTACAGTGTGAGAAAATACAAACAGCAACGTCGCTATGATACTAACGAGGTACAGCGGCGCTGGCCCACGCCGGGGGCGTGAGCACGGGAAGCAGGCCCGCTCCATGGTACAGCGCGTGGACGATGTCTACAGAGTGGACGGTCGGGGCGGAGAACCCCAGGGGGGCCAGGGACGGGCCCAAGAGAAACGGAGGGAGGGGGGGGAGGGGAGAGCACGAACAACATGCCGCCCAGGCGTCAACCTGCCGACCTGGAGTGTCTGAGCGGCGTCCAGTTCACGCTCACGTTACGTCCTGCCGCGTCTGGCGGCGCGTTGGCTTCAACTCTGTCCAAGACTAAGTTGCACACCGACTGCCGAGGGAGGGGAGGAGTGACGAGGGATGGGGCGGGGTCAGTTTGGGCACCCCAACTGCCTGGCTGGGGCGACGCTCGGGCCCGCCAGGCGGCCAGTCTGACGGGACGGCGCCGCCGCTGGGGACCGCGGGGTCGGCCTGGATGGCGGCCCAAGGGCGGGGGGGGGACGGAGGGGGGCGGAGCGAACTGCAGGGGTAGAGGCGAAGGGCATGCAGGGGGCGGGGAGGAGGAACGGGAACGGGAAGGGGAGGGGCAGGGAGAGTGGGAGGGGGAGGGTGGGGGGGACGAGGCAGGGGAGGGAGGCAGGAAGAGAAGGAGGAGGGGGGGAGGACGAGGAGGAGGACGAGGAGGAGGAGGACGGTGGATGGGGAGAGGGGGAAAAGATGGGAAGGAGGTTCTTTTTGGACTCAACAGTCAAACCTTTGTAATTCGGACATACAGGTGCACCTCGATGAAGGCGGATTGCGGCCCAGGGGCGGGGGGGGGGGCGCGGAGCGAGCTGCAGGGGTAGAGGCGGAGGGAATGCCGGGGGCGGGGAGGAGGAACGGGAGCGGGAAGGTGAGGGGAATGGGAAGTGGGAGGGGGAGGGTGGGGGGGACGAGGCAGGGGAGGGAGGGAGGAAGAGAAGGAGGAGGAGAAGGAGAAGGAGGAGGACGACGAGGAGGAAGCCCATTTGGCCTCTAGCGGGCCCGCGGATCCCGATCGATCCATCGGGGTCGGTGGCGCCTGCCGCCCGATCGATCGCGGTGGCAGGGCGCATCGCGCATCGGCCAGCCCGCGAGGCCGGGCTCGCGCGTGCCGCGCGCCATCATCTGCGGCAGGGGGCAATCCGTGCCTCCCTGCTCCCTGCCGCAGACGGCGGCGCCAGCGGCCGCGCAGCGGCCACCCCCGCGGCGGGACGCCCGGACAGGGCCAAGGCGGAGCTCCAGAGGGAGCTGCGCATCGGCGAGAGCGGGGCAAGCGCGGCAACGCTCGGTTGCTGCTGAGGTTGGCCCAGGCCAAAGAGACGTTGGCTGACCACCACTCGGCGCAGCAGCACCAGCGCAACCAGCAGCACCAGCGCAACCAGCAATTCCAGCGCTACCAGCAGGACTAGATGGCGCAGCAGGGTCGCTGGGCAGGTCCTGCCAATGGCCAGACCGACAGCACGTGGACACTTGGACCACCAGTCGGAGCTCAGCCATGGCCATGGAGAAGGCAATCGCGAGGAAAATCGACTGCGAGCAACTACCAGAAGAAATTCAATCACAACCAGAAGGAGGGAGGGGAGGGGAAGGGAGGGAGGGGAGGAGTGACGAGGAATGGGGCGGGGTCAGCTTGGGCACCCCAACTGCCTGGCTGGGGCGACGCTCGGGCCCGCCAGGCGGCCAGTCTGACGGGACGGCGCCGCCGCTGGGGACCGCGGGGTCGGCCTGGATGGCGGCCCAAGGGCGGGGGGGGGACGGGGGGGGGCGGAGCGAACTGCAGGGGTAGAGGCGAAGGGCATGCAGGGGGCGGGGAGGAGGAACGGGAACGGGAAGGAGAGGAGCAGGGAGAGTGGAAGGGGGAGGGTGGGGGGGACGAGGCAGGGGAGGGAGGGAGGAAGAGAAGGAGGAGGGGGAGGACGAGGAGGAGGACGAGGAGGAGGAGGACGGTGGATGGGGAGAGGGGGGAGGGATGGGAAGGAGGTTCTTTTTGGACTCAACAATCCAGCCTTTGTAATTCGGACGTACAGGTGCACCTCGATGAAGGCGAATACACATGTGTGTCATGACCTTCGGTGGCGATTTGACCACACCCAGTGCTCAGCACAGTCCAGCGCGTGGAAGCCCATGGATTGAAGCCGCACGCAGTACCGGGAAGCCAGTCGCCACGTACATTACCATGAGCGCCCATGGGAAAATACACCGGGCGATGAGATGAACAGCGCCAAAAACGAGACGAATAATCCAGCGCTGGATCCGAACATACACCACATGAGCATGGCGCAAGCATCCAAATCAGCATGGCCCCATCACCCTTGACGGTCGATAAAAAAATCCTGGGATAATAAAGTTCGCGGTTCCCGCGGGGATAATACAGGATTTTCCCGGGGAAGGTAAGTTATGATGACGATGCTGACGACGACGATGGAGGAGATGGGGATGAGGAGGAGGAGGAGGAGGAGGAGAAGGAGGAAGAGGAGGAGGTTAAACCAGGCGCACGACAGAAGCCTGACTCGAGCGATCTCTCGGCTCGTGGCTACATGCCCGCAAAGGCGCACTACACAGAGATTACTCGAGCGATCTCTCGGCTCGTGGCTACTTGCCCGCAGAGGCGCACTACACAGAGATTACTCGAGGGATCTCGAGGCTCGTGGCTACTTGCCCGCAGAGGCGCAAGACCCAAGGCTGACTCGAGCGATCTCGAGGCTCGTGGCTGGGCGCCTAGATTTTGCCAGCGCGAGAGAGGTCCTTGGCCGATCTGGCCAAGAAACCCCTCTTGCGCTGGATTTCGAACCACTCTCCCATGCAAGCACGGCATCCTTTGGAGCCGTCCTTGCATGGGAGACACTTGGTGCAGAGCTGGGCGGCGGCGCTAGCCTCCTCGTAGGTGGCGCACTTCGGCTCGGCCGCCGTGGGGTCCTTGCAAGGGTTGGATTTGTGTGTTGGCCTTGGCCTTGGCCAGGATCGATTTTGAAAAAGAGAAAACATTGGGTTCGGGGCATTAGGTTTTTAATGTGTAAAAAAACAAATTCGTTTCATTTGCTTTCAGGAGCGCACGGGGGGGGGGGGTCCATGATGGGACCCCGCGGGTGATTTGTATTATAACAACACACACACCAAAAAAAATGATCAAAAAGTGCGGCCCCTGGAGGGAAGGAGGTAGGAGGTAGAAGGAAGAGAAAGAGACAAGGAAAATAAGGAAAAGAAAAGGAAGAAGGAATTAAAAGCAAACGCAAAGGAAAGACGCAAAAGGAAAGGAAAAGAATGAAGATCCGAAACATAAAAGAGAAGGAAACTAACAATAAGAAGAAAAGAGGGAACAGCTCGTGATTGCGGAAGCTGGTGTGGCGAGACCATCATTGCCATGCTCAGCGTTTTTGATGCTGTTGCTAATCAACATGATATGATCGCAACTTCGATCCCCGCAACTTTCCAGTGGATTATCAAGTTCGGCCCCCGCGCCTTCCCCACGTATAGATCCCTGTGGTCGGGGATTAAAAATGAAGGGGGTGAAGGGGGGGTACTTTACTATCGCCCGTTAGCGGTTAAACTCCTCATCCGATGACTCGCCCAATTCGTCGCCACAATCATTGAGGTCAAACATCGGACAACGCCGAAACAGAGATCCACCCTGATTGCTTTGAACGGCGAATCGGAGACCTTCCCCAAAAACACCAGGAAGGCCCCGCGAAACCCAAGACGCAGTAGCGTGAAAGGGCGGGGCGACAACCGTTCCTACGAGAGAGCGCGCCCACAACGCCAGAGCAAAGGGGGAGGGGTCCCCCCTTAGCTAACCCCCCCCCTCCCTTCCACCTCCACTGCTGGAAGCTCCCCCCCCGAAACCTCCCCCAAAAAGCTCCCCCTACTCCCCCCTTTCGCCACTCCGAAGCTACCGGGAGAGGGGGCTTAGCTCCCCCCCCTCCCCTTGACCCCCCTCTGCCGGAAGCTACCTCCCCCCCTTCCCACTTTTGGTTCCAAAAGGGGGGGGCTTAGCAGCCCCTCCCCCCTCCCCCCTTTCGGCACCCGGGAAGCTACCCCCCCCTTCCGCCCTTCCAAAAGGGAGGGGGGCTTAGCAGCCCCTTGACCCCCCTCTGCCGGAAGCTCCGCCACCCTCCCCCTTTTTGGTTCCAAAGGGGGGGGGCTTAGCAGCCCCCCTCTCCCACCCTTTCGGCACCCGGGAAGCAATCCCCCCCCTCTCGCCCTGACGAAAGGGAAGGGGTGTTTAGCTACCCCCCCCTCCTTTGACCCCCCTCTGCGGGAAGCCCCCCCCCCTCCCTCCATGTTTCTCTCCCCTGCCGGAAGCTCCCCTCCCCTCGCCCCTTTCCATCAGGGAAGTAGCGGCTTAGCTACCACCCCCATCCCTTGAACTCCCCTTGCCGGACGATCCTCCCCCGTCGCCATCGTCGTTGCCGTCGCCGTCGCTCGACGTCTTCGTACGACGCCGTCGTCGTCATCGTCGTCGTTGTCGCCGCCGTCGCCGTTATTAACTCCGTCTTCGCATGACCTCGTCGTGGTCGTCACGACGAGGCCGAGGTCAGGCGAAGACGGCGACGGACGACGGACGACGCGCGACCGACGACCGACGACGACGACGACCCAGGGTCACAGAAAACGAGACCACGAACCAGGGGCTGAGAAAAGGAGGAAGTGAAGCAGGGTCCGAGAAAACGAGACCACGGCCCAGGGGCAGAGAAAACGAGAAAACGAACCAGGGTCCAACAAAACGAACCAGGGCCCGAGAAAACGAGGCCACGACCCAGGGGCAGAGAAAACGCGAAAACGAACCAGGGTCAGATAAAACGAGACCACGACCCAGGGGCTGAGAAAAGGAGGAAGTGAAGCAGGGTCCCAGAAAACGAGACCACGACCCAGGGGCAGAGAAAACGCGAAAACGAACCAGGGTCAGAGAAAACGAAACCACGACCCAGGGGACGACAACACAAGACAACGAGAAAACAAACCAGTGCCCGAGAAAACGAAACCACGACCCAGGGGACGAAACAACGAGACAGCGAGAAAACGAACCAGGGCCCGAGAAAGCGAGAACACAACCGAAGGGCCTAGAAAACGAGAAAAAGAACCAGGGCCCGAGAAAACGAAACAAACATCCAGAAGCCGAGAAAACGTGAAAACTAGACACCGAACCAGGGTCAGAGAAAACGAGATAACGACCCAGGGGCCGAGAACACGCGAAAACGATAAAGCAAACCAGGGTCCGAGCAAACGAGACCACGACGTAGGCCGAGGAAACGCGAATATCGGTCCTAGAAAACGACACCACGACCCAGGGGCCGAGAAAACGAGACAACGATAAAAGAAATCAGGGCCCGAGAAAACGGGACCACGAACTAGGGGCCGAAAAAACAAGGAAACAAGAAAACAAACCAGCGTCCGGGAAAACGAAACCACGACCCCGGGGCCGAGAAAACAAGAAAACGAAAAAACTAACCAGGGTCCGAGAAAACTGGACCACGAACCAGGCGCCGAGAAAACAAGAAACGAGAACACGAACCAGGGTTCAGAGAAAACGAGAACGCGACCCAGGGGCCGAGACAACGAGAAAACGAACCAGGGTCAGAGAAAACGAACCACGACCCAGGAGCAGAGAAAACGAGAAAACGAGAAAACGAACCATGGCCCGAGAAAACCAAACCACCACCCAGGGGCAGAGAAAACGAGAAAACGACAAAACGAAACGGGGCCCTTGGAAACGAGACCACGACCCAGGGGACGATAAAATAAGAAAACAAAACAACGAATCAGGGTAAGAGAAAACGAGACCACGACCCAGGGGCCGAGAGAACGAGAAAAATAAGACAACGAACCAAAGGCCGAGAAAACGAGACAAAAACCCAAAGGCTGAGAAAATGAGAAAACGAGAAAACGAACCGGGGCCCGAGAAACCGAGACCACGACCCAAGGGACGAGACAACGAGAAAACGAGAAAACGAAGCAGGGTCAGAGAAAACGAGACCACGACACAAGGGCCGAGAAAACGAGACAACGAGAAAACGAACCAGAGTCAGAGAAAACAAAAACACAATTCGGTGGGCGAGAAACGGAAAACACGAGAAACCGAACCAGGGTCCGAGAAATCGGGACCACGATCCAGGGGCCGAGAAAACAACAAACGAACCATGGTCAGAGAAAACGAGACCACGACCCAGGGGCCGAGAAAACAAGAAAACGAAAAAACTAACCAGGGTCCGAGAAAACTGGACCACGAACCAAGCGCCGAGAAAACAAGAAACGAGAACACGAACCAGGGTCAGAGAAAACGAGAACACGACCCAGGGGCCGAGACAACGAGAAAACGAACCAGGGTCAGAGAAAACGAACCACGACCCAGGGGCAGAGAAAACGAGAAAACGAGAAAACGAACCATGGCCCGAGAAAACCAAACCACCACCCAGGGGCAGAGAAAACGAGAAAACGACAAAACGAAACGGGGCCCGAGGAAACGAGACCACGGCCCAGGGGACGATAAAACAAGAAAACAACACAACGAATCAGGGTAAGAGAAAACGAGACCACGACCCAGGGGCCGAGAACGTGAGAAAACGATGGACCTAACAAGGGTCCAGGAAAAAACGGCACCATGACCCAGGGGGGGGCCGAAAAAAACAACACACACAAAACAAGCAAAAGCCGAGTCAACGAGAAAACGAAACAACGAACAAGGGCCCGAGAAAACAAAACCACGACCCAGGGGACGAGAAAACGAGAAAACGAGAAAACGAACCAAAGTCCGAGCAAACGAGACCACGACCCAAGGGCACAGAAAACGCAAAAAAGAAACAGGGTCCGAGAAAACACGACCACGACCCAGGGGCCGAGAAAACGAGAAAACGATACGAAGGAATCAAGGCCAAAGAAAACGAGACTACGAACAAAGAGCCGAGAAAACAAAAAAAAAAAAAACGGAACAGAGAAAACGAGACCGCGACCCAGGAGCCAAAAACATGAGAAAACAAGAAAACAAGCCAGGGGCCTAGAAAACGAGAAAACGATATGAAGGAATCAGGGCCCGAGAAAACGAGACTACGAAAAAAAGGCCACAAAGACAAGAAAACGAACGAAGAACCGGAATATAGAGAAAACGAGACCGCGACCCAGAGGCCGAGAACACAACAAAAACGATAACAAACCAGGCCCAAAGAAAACGAGACCACGACCAAGGGGCCGAGGAAATGAGAAAACGCGAAAAAGACCCATGACTCAGGGGCCGAGAAAATGAGAAAACGAGAAAACGAACCAGGGTCCGAGGAAACAACGACCCAGGGGCCGAGATCACCAGAAAACGGCTGGTTCGAGAAAACGAAACCACGACCCAGGAACCGAGAAAACGAGGAAACAGGAAAACGAAGCACGGTCAGAGAAAACGAGGCCACCACCCGGGGTCCGAGACAACGAGAATCCGAGAATACTAACCAGCGTCCGAAGAGACAAAACCACGACCCACGGGTCGAGAAAACGAGACGACGAACCAAGCGCCGAGAAAACAGTACAAAAACCCAGAGACCGAGAAAACGAGAAAACGAAAACACGAACCAAGATCAAAGAAAACGAGACCGCGACCCAGGAGCCGAAAACACGCAAAAACAAGAAAACAAACCAGGGGCCGAGAAAACGAGAAAACGATAAGAAGGAAGCCCGAGAAAACGAGATCACGAACAACAGGCAAAGAAAACAACAACAACAACAACAACAACAACAACAACAACAACAACAAATCCGCCGACCCCTTGTGGGTCTCTAGGCGTGTGAGATAGTTCCCCCCCCCTAACCCCCCCCCTGGGACCCCAAACCGGAGATTTGACCCCCCCCCCCCGGGCCGCAGACGAGCGCACCACGGGGCTCTTTTGGGCCCAAAAGGGGATCAAGACGGGCCAAGAAGGCCCCAAGACTCCTCCAAGACGGCTCACGAGAGCTCCGAGGCGCCAAACGAGCGCTCCCAGACGCCCAAGATGCCCCCAAGACGAGCCTAGAGGCCTCCAAGACGGCCCAAGACGCCTCCAAGAGCAGTCCTCAGAAGGGCCGAAGCGCCGAAAATCGTCAATTCCTATGGGAAAACGTACATTTTGATCACATACTACTTCTCGGCCTTCACGGCGTTGAAGACGGTCCCAGAGCACCCCAAGACCGCCCCGAGAGGCCCCCAAGAGGCGCCCAAGTCGGCCCAGGAGGGCGCCAAGACGGCCCAAGAGGCCCCCAAGACAGCCCAAGAGGGCCCCAAGACGGCCCCAAGAGGTGCCCAAGAGGGGGAGCCCGAACCGACAATCCGAGCCTTCCGCCCCAAGGCGGCCCCAGAAGGCCCCAAGAGGCCCCAAGAGGCCCCCAAGACGCCCACAAGAGGCCCCAAGAGGCCCCCAAGAGGCTCCAAAACGGCCCCCAAGAGGCTTCGAAACTGCCTCCAAGAGTCCCGCGAAAAGCCCCCCAAGAGATCCCAACGATCACCGCACAAGTCTCATATCAACAACCCAGGCACGGTGGCGGGGTTGCGTTTGCGCACAAAAAAATGATTCGCGCTCTCGAGGCCAAGATTGCTCCAAAACGGCCCAGGATGGCTCCAAAACGGCCCAAGATGGCTCCAACACGGCCCAAGAACGTTCGAAGACGGCCCAAAATGGCCTCAAGATGGCCGACAAGGCTTTCACTATCGCCCACGAAGTCTCCAAGAAGACCCCCAGGACATCTGAAAGAGGCGCACATTACGCATTTCATTACATTTCCATTGCGTTGTTGAACATGTTTGCAATTGTTGCCTTTCCCGGCTTCCGTCGGCTCACGTAGCCCAAAGAGCCTCCAAGATCGCCCCACGGCGCCCCAAGAGGGCCTCAAGACGGCCCCAGAGAATCCCAACACGGCCCAGGACGCCTCCCAATTCGGCCTAAGACGACCCCAAGACGGCAAAACCTGTCTCCAAATTGGTCCCAAGCTGGTGCAAGACGGCCCTAACCCAAAACCCATAACCCAGAGCCTTGTTTCTGTGTCCCCTTCCTCCTTCTCCTCCTCCTCCTCCTCCACCTCGGCCGCCAGGTGGGTTCAAAACTGCTTTCCAAAGGTCCCCGAGAGGCGTGCCGCGAGATCCCTATACACATACAACAAGTTTCTAACCAATAGCACATATCCCAGAGTTTCGTCTCTGTGTCCCCGTCCTCCCCCTCTTCTCCTCCTCCTCCACCTCCTCCTCGCCCACTCCTCCTCTTCCTCCCCCGCCTCCTCCTCTTCCTCCCCGATTCTTCTCCCCCCATCCTCCGCCTCACCCCCCATCCCTCTCTCCCCCTCCCCCCTGTCCTCCCCCGCACGCGCGCCCCCGATTGGGCATCATTTGCAGGTCTTGCATATCAGGGTGCCCTTTTTTGCATCGCGTGCGACGTTGGCAGGGTTCCCGGAGAACGCCGACGTCGGTAGTCTTCTCTTGCACGCGCCGCCGCACTGATACGCCTGGCAACTGCGGGCTGTGAACCCGAGGTTCCGGCAAGACCGCCAGGATGAGGGGTCGGCGGATGTGGCGTAAGCCTATAGAATAATAATACGAATCAGGAGTCGACGCTATTCTCCAATGCGTTCTCTAGCGCTGCGGCGCGCACCGGTCGTCAGGGATTCTGCTGTTTTGCCAGAGCCCCGGAAGGGAGGGGGGGTAGTTTCGGAAGACCCCCCCCCGTTTTGCAAAGGAGGGGGGCGGGGGGTAGCTCGAAGCCGCCCCTCCCCCTGTGTCCAAACCAAAAAAGGAAGGAGGGGGGCGGTATCTTCTGCAGCCCCCCCCCCTCTTGAAAGGGAAGCCCCAGCTCACTTTCTGGTCCGGGAAACGGAAGGAGGGGGGATAGTTTCGCATCCCCCCCCTTAGCCAGGGCCCCCTAGCTTAGAAACCCTTACAGAAGGGAAGGGGGGGTAGTTTCGGAAGGCCCCCCCTCTTTTGGAAGGGAAGGGAGGGGAGGTAGCTCGAAGCTGAGCCCCCCCTTTCCGTATTACCGGAGGCGCGGGCGCGCTCTTTCTTACCTCAGCTGTTTTGCGCTGCTCGAAACACCGCGGCAACTCGCAGCGACGAGCTCCTCCGCGACGGAGCCCCGCGAAGTCTGCGAATCCACCTGCATATGCTCCCCCCCCTCCTCAGAGCTGTCAGGCGCACAGGGGCAGGGCCCCCGTGGATGGACGCTGGGCAGCCGCCCCCCCGAGGTCCGCCCAGGCCTCCGTCGCGGCCGCGCTCGCGCCAACAAGGAACCTCCACGGCGACCAGCGACGGCCGCGCGCGCTTCCTCTCAGAAGCCCCCCCCGAGGGAGCGCGGACTTTCGCGAAGCCTGAACCCCAAGCCGCCGCCACGTCGACGCCTTGCACGTCAGCGCGCGAAATCACATCGCGGCGGAGAGCCTCGAGCCAGGAGGGCTCGTTCCCTGCCAGTGTCGCCTGCAGGGCGGGGAGCATCGCCAGCAGCCGCTGGGCGACCTCAGCGCTGCCGACCAGGCTGCACAAGGCCATCTCTGAGTAAACCCAAAGGTACGGATACCGCTGCTCCCTGGACCTCTCGCGGGGTGCGTTCTGACAAGAACTTCGAGGCGAATCCAGCGGGGGGGGACGCCAGCCTCCCAGGAGGCTGACAAAAAATGAAAAACGGCGCCAAGGGTAGCGGTACGGGTAGGTACCTGTTCCTCCTCTGTATCTCGGCTGCCCCGAGGCTGCTGCCGACCCACGAGAACTCTTGCGACAGCCTCGCGATGGCGTTGTCCGCCGACCAGCGCGCCCAGTCACAACCAGCCCCACGCTGAGCCGCTGAGCGGCTCGGCGCGCACGCCGCGCCGCCCCGTGAAACCATATCCTGAGCAGCGGCAGGCAGCCTGCAGCAGCTTCAACCCTGTCGCGCCATGCTCAACCGGCTTGAGCAGTGGGGGCGTTGCTCGCTGATGGGCGGCCTGAGCCAAAATGGCTACGGCGGGAGTGGAAGCAAGTATGTAGGATGAGAAGGGCGAGGGTTGGGAGAGGTCGCAGCGAAGGAGAACGGAAAGGCGAAAGGGGAAAGCGGAAAGGGGAAAAGGGAAAGAGGAACAGAAAATGTCCAAAGGCTGGGGTAGGCGGAGAGGGTGAGGTGCCGGGGGTGTGGAGAGACGGACATGGAGGTATTTCGGGAGGCTGGGAGACAGGGCATGAAGAGAGATGGAGATAGGAGAGAAGGGAAACGCAGAGGAAGGAGGAGGGTCGGGCAATAGGTTGAAGTGGGATGTGGGAGAAGAAGATGGGCATGGGGACCCAGGGGGATGGAGAGGACATGCAGATGAGAGCATGGCGTCGTCTGGAGGAGCATTGATAGGGGGCGCCGAGAAGGACTGGCTGGAGGAACAGCGGGAGGAGGCGCGGCGGGATGGCCAAGGGACCGAGGGCAACACGCATTCGGGGCGCTCTCCTCCTCCTCCTCGTCCTCCTCCTCGTCCTCGAACTCGTCCTTCTCCTCCTCCACCGTCCCTTTTATACGCCATCCCTGTAGCACCCCCCGATTTCGGTAGAGCGGCCAGGGAGTTTCTCGCCTGCTCCTCAGACTGTCTGATCCTCAAGCTTGAAATTCATAACAGTTAATTAACTACCCTGATGAGACACAAGTGGTTTTCAACATGGTGCTCTCGCCTTGGCGCCGCGCAAATTCCATGAAAAATGAACCCGGACCGACCTCGATCAGGGGAGCGCTTCCTACTGCATGGGCGCAGTGGTTAGTATTGCTTGGCTTTGTTTGGCATTGATTCACGTTGCTTGATGTTGCTTGGCGTTGCTTGGCATTGCTTGGAAACAAGACCAAACAAAGAAGGGAATCCAATAAGGAAGCAGGACCTGCCAACCTGAGGAACGCCGTAAAGAGACAAGACCAAACGACCAGGGCATCGCAGTGAAGAACAAAAAACAGGCAACCCGAGGATTGCAGCAAGGGAGCAAGACCTCGCAAACCCAGGCAACGCCACAGTACAGAAGCAAGGCCAAGCACCCTTGGGAAGGCCACAATCAAGAAACAAATACCTGGCAACCATGAGAAACGGCGGCTGGCGCAGGCCCAGGCACCCACTATCTCTTCAAAAACAAATCAGAATCCCTGAGGTGAGCCTAGTTCGCGCGCGCGTGGCGGCCCCTGGGGTCCCCGGACGCAACGAACCCCGGCAAGGTCCCGGCAGGTTCCTGGCAAATCGCCGGCACAGTCCTGGCGAGTCCGGGGCAAAGCCCCGGCAAGGTCGGGCCAGAGATGCTGGAGCTTCCAGGCGCGGCCTCGGGCCTCCCGAGCGCCCCAGTGAGGCCCCAAAAGAGTCGCACGCCTCACGGCCTCAGGCCAAGAGCGTTCCGAGATGGCCCACGTTGGTCCCAAGACAGCCCAAGAAGCGCCCACGACGCTCTGGGATGGTTCCAAGAGGACTTCGAGAGGCCCCGTAGACACAACAATCGTTGATTTTCGTATGGTGTTCAAACGATTTCAGCGGCACGGCTTTTTCGAGCTGCCGACTGCCCTGGACGACACAAGAGGCCCCAATATCGCTCCAAGACGGCCCAAAAAGCTTCCAAGGGGGCCCCAAAATGGCCCAAGATGGCCCCCAGACCGCGCAAGAGGCCTCCAAGACAAACAGCACCAGGATGGCCCCAAGAGGCGCCCATGAAGCCCCAAGAGATCCCCAAGAGGCCACAAGAGGCCCCCAATAGGCCCCGAAAGAAGCTCCCAAGACTCCCAACAGGCCCCCAGGAAGCCCCACCCCCCAAAAGTTCCCAAGAGGCTCCCCAAAGGCCTCAAAACTGCTCCTCAGAGGCTCCCTCCGAAAAGACCCCAAAGAACATCCATGAAGACTTTGACCCACAACCCGTGTGCGTCTCGAAACTTTGCTGTAGTTTTTGTTGCGCCACCTTGGCGTCCTCTGGGGCAGTCTATCGGCCCTCTTCGACAGGGTGCGAGCCACATCACAAACAATCTCCTCGAAGACTGTCCTGGCTGCCATACCATTCCTGCTGGGCACGAGCACACCACCAAGCAGCCAGTGATGCGAAAAGGGCCGGCGGAGTGAGCGAAGCGACTAAATAAGCACCCCTCGGGCGAGCACAACTGGGGAAAATCCGCTGGCCACCTTGTGGGGCCACCACTTCCAGCTCCAGTCTCCATCGCTAGGGCCACCTTGTGGGGCCACCTAGGCTTGCTGCTCCCTGCACCAGTTCCAGTTTCCAATCTCCAATGTTACAGTCGTCTTTTCTGGTCACGCTCTGACCTCGCAGTGGTACATTATTGTCGTGGGCGGAGCTGACCACATCTTACTGTGGCCAGCTTCGCTACCAAGTAAAAAGCAGGATGAGGACCATTGGATGGTGGGTTGGATGTAAGAGGTAGGATGGAGCACCTCCCAAGAGGACTGATCGGATCCTGCCTGCTCCTGATGCGATAGCTCTCGGAACCGTTTTCGGGGGCTGCTCCCCGAGCGCTCCTGGCCCCCTGTGGGGCCCTCCTGGACCGTCGGGCCCAGACGGGCTCGGCGCTCACAGGGCAGAAAGGGCCTGGCCTTTCCTCCGCAGACAGCCGATGCGGCCCTCCCCCCCGAAAACCGGCGGCACCTGCCTCGCCCCCCCTCCCTCGTCCCTCGTCCATGATTCCCGTCCCCCCTGTGCAAGCATCGTGCTTCCACGGGGAGCGCCAAAATATCCGCCGATCCGGCATGTGAGTTTCAAAGACCCTCAGATATAACAGCCTGAGCCTCAGTTCTTGAGCTTCAGCTCTGCTGGGTGGGTGGGTGCCGGGGTGGCTCTGCCGGGGTAGGGGGGGGGGTCCGAGTCAATTTCGGTGGCAAAATCGGAGCTCCAGCTCACTCCAGGTCGGCCCCTCGCCCTGGAAAGCTCGAACGCGGGCTCAAAAAAAAACCCAGCGGCCGCCCAAACGACCCAAGAGGGCCCTGAATGGCCGAAACATCGCTCCAAGACGCTCAATATGTTCCTCAGACGGCTCCAAAGCCTCCAACGTACCCTCCCGACACCTCCTAAGAGTGCCCAAAGACGGAAAATCTGTCCCATTCCATTAGGAAAACGCTCTCTGCATTTTCGCTTCTTCGGCCTTCGCAGTGTCCAACACGACCCAAGAGACTCTCAAAACATGCCCAGAGGCTCCCAAGACTGAGGGCCCCGAATCGACGGCCTGGGAGGCCCCAAGACAGCCCACGCAGGCCCCAGGATGGGCCTAAGAAGCGCCCAAGAGGGCTCCATGACGGCCCCAGAAGGGCCCACGACGGCCCGAGAGGCGCCCAGGCGGCACCAAAATGGCCCTGGGAGTCCCCAAGAAACCCCGAGAGGCTCCAAGTGGCCCTCAACAGGCCCCAAAAGGCGCCCAAAAGCGCTCCCGAAGGCTTGAAAAAACACACACCCAGGAGGCCTCCAGGATGCCTCCTGCATGCCCCCCAAGAAGCCCAAAAGGGCCCTAAGAGGCTCGACAACCACCTCCAAGACGCCCCCAGGAGGCCTCGAAGATGCGTCGTAGAGGCCCCTCAAGAAGCCCACGCAGTGCCTCCAAGCTGTTTCCAAACCACTTGCGCTTGAACAAACGCGCTGGGCCGAAGGCGTCCTTCTGACAGCGGGATCGTCCCGGATCGGCGGCACCGGCCGGAGGCCTCTACAGTGTGGAACGAGAGCGCCGTTCTGGCCACTGCCAGCCTCGGCCACGCATGGGCCACCCGACCGCCCGACAACCAGAGCCCCTCCTGAACCCAGCGTGGTCCTCGTTTCAGCGTCTTCACTGCACTCCCGCTTCCCTCCTCTCCTGGAGGTCTCCAGAGCAGAGGTTCCCAACATCCCCCGTTCTCCCCGAATGTCTGCGAGGCCTCCGGGGACCCAGAGCAGGCCAAGAAGCTTCTCGAGATGGAGAACCAAGTGAGCGACAAACAGAAACGGATCTTGCGCGAGATGGAATAGCGACCCTCCGAAGCGGCTTACGCGGGCCGCCTGCGCGGCACACCGCATTGCAACGAAAACGAAGGCGCCTACGCGCGACCTTACGGAGCTTACCCGCGCATGTCGGCGCAGTCGACCCCGCTCCGGTGGTGGGCACATTCGGGGACGCGCCAGTCAGCCCACGTCAGCGCTAACCCGGGGCAGCCAAGGCCGCGTCGCGTACCTAGCAGCCAGGGAGGGCACGGGGGGGCAGTTGCACGGTTTGTGCCGACCGCCATTACGCGCACCACGGGGGGGCGCTGGCACGGTTTGTGCCGACCGCCATTACGCGCACCCCCAAGACCTCCGACGCTTCGATGCTTCCATAGGGGGCCACCGGAACTCTGGACCACCTCCCAGGATCCAGCTCTTCGCCCCGGATCCTCTTCTGACGGCCCCGGAGCCCATCGAAGGCCCTCAGAAACCGAAAACGACCAAGAGAACACCTCGACTCCTGCAAACCTTTGCATGTCTGGGCACCCCGACACTGCCCCCCCCGGCCGTCTGACACTGCCCCCCCC